GGATGAGATTTCCTTTAAAATGTAGCAATCTTTTCACCAGTAGCAAGACTAATGAGGTACCTCCTGAAAAATAACCACTCAGCAGCTGCGGGACCAGTGAGGAAGCCTCTGGCCCATTTGGCCACTGATAATGATGGTAAAGAGTCTTTCCTTATTTCAGATCGGGGGTAAGTCTCTGCCTGTAAAAGGAAAGGCTTGGACCAAGGGGCTTGTGAGGTCCCTTCCAGCACAAAGTCTATGATGCCTGGATTTGGGGCACTGGACACGATGGACAACATTGTGTCTCCAGTGGAAAGGAAGCTCCCTGAGGGCAGGGACTATTTTCATTCTTGTCTTTTTTTCCCATAGGTTCATAGATTTAGGACTGGAAGGGATCTTTTAGCTTATCTAGTCCAATCCCCTCATTTTATAGATAAGAGAGCTGAGGCCCAGAGAAGCTGACTTACCCAAGATCTCACAGTCAGAGTTAATATTTGAACCTCCAAATCCACTGCTTTTTCCATGATGTCTTATCCCTTTTTGGATTACTAAATTTAATCGGTGTTTAGTATTTCTAGTCTTTTTTATTGTTTTACAATAATCCACTCTTTCTTGAGAGATAGTAACGTGGCTGTCCCCTATGCCTAGAATTCTCTCCCTCTTCATCCCTGTCTCCTTCCCTGGCTTCCTTCAAGTCTCAGCAAAAATCTCACTTTCTACAAGAAGCCTTTCCCAATCCCCCTTAATATTCATGCCTTCCCTCTGAGATTACCTCCAATTTACCATATATATATATGCATATATATATCTATATATATTCTATTTGTACATGCATATCATTATCATTTCCCCACTGGACTGTGGGCTTCATGAAGACAGATAAATAGTATCTGCTTTTGTTTGCATTCCTAGTACTTAACATAGTATCCAGCACACAATAGTTGCTTAATGAAGCCTTGTTAACAAATTGACTTTCCAGAACCTTAAACAGTGCAAGCTTAGCCCATAAGAGATGCTTAGGATCACAGATTGAGATGGAAAGGACCCTGGAGATCTTTAGTTTCAACTCCCTCATTTTTTTAGATGATGGAACTGAGGCACGGAAAGGTATAGTTACTTACTCAAAAATCTTATGGAAAATAAGTATCAAAACCCAGATCCTCTGATTTTAAATCTGGCCCTCCCTCCATCATATCATGCTGCTTAATTAATGTGTTTTGCATTGGATTCAATTACGTTATCATTTTGCCTCTTTCCGAGAAGTTAAAAAATGATGCTTACAGAGGTTTGGGAAACTTACCCATTGACCTGTAGCTAGTGAATATCTGAGCTAGGATTTGTACCCAGATCTGCAGGGTAAAAGTCTGAGAATCATTCTCCTAGCCCACACTGTCTCTTGAGTGAGTCTCTTGCTTGTTTTTCTTGGTAAAAGTTATTTGTTTGGGAGGTGGGAGAAAAAGGAGAGGAATGCGGTGTTTGCTTATTTTGAAATGTAACAGCCCCTTCTTGCTAGGTGGCTCAATGGATGGAGCATTGGGCCTGAAGTTGGGGAAGACCTGAGTTCAAATCCAGCTTCAGACATTTACTAGGCGTGTCACCAGGACAAGTCACTTAACCTCTGTTTGCTTCAGTTTCCTTACCTGTAAAATGGTGATAATAATAACTCACTAGCTATGTGACACTGAGCAAGCCACTTTACCCTGTTTGCCTCAGTTTCCTCATCTGTAAAATGATCTGGAGGAGATGGCAAATGGCTCCAGTATCTTTGCCAAGAAAATCCCAAATGGGGTCACACAAAGAGTCAGACATAACTGAACAACAATAAAAATATTTTTATCGGTTTTTTTTTTTGCTTTGGACATTATTTATTACTGTTTTGTCTTTTCCTGGGCACTACCTTGAAAACTACATAATAGACAGCCAGTGAGAGCCAAAAAGACCTTCAACAAATAGGCAAATTCACTCAAATCTCAGCTCAGGTACTCACTACGTATAAGATCTTGAATAATTCACTTAACCCCTGTGGGCTTCAGTTTCCTCATCTATTAAAGAGATGGGATTGAATTCTATTTGTATTGGGCATATATTGGGCATAATTCAATAAACATTTGTTAGGCATCTGTGATATACCAGGCCTTGTGCTCAGTGCTGGAGAGGCAAAGATTTTTGAAATGGAAAGTCCTGCCCTCAAGGAGTTTACCTTCTTCTGGTGGTGGTGAGGGGGATACACATACGTAGGTAAGAATGTGATGGTAGACTGAGGTCTGAGCAAATAGCGTTCAGAACAAGGGGAGTGATGGTCCCACTGCCCTTTGGTCTTCCCGACCACATCTGGTATAGTGAGTTCTGGGTCGCATATTCCAGAAAGGACATTGATAATTTGGAGGGCTTCCAGCAGAGAATAAACCTAAATGGTCAAGGGATTCAAAATCATGACAAATTACAACCAAGTGAAGGAATTTATGTTTTGAGGATCAAATGAGATAATACATGAACAGCACTTTACAAACCTTAAGATGCTATATAGAATCTAGGTATCATTATTATTATTATTATTATTATTTGTTGTTCAGTTATTTCAGTCATGTCATCATGACCCCATTTAGGGTTTTCTTGGCAAAGATACTGAAATGGTTTGCCATTTCCTTCTCCAGCTCATTTTACAGATGAGGAAACTGAGGCAAACAGGGTAAAGTGACTTGGCCGGGATTGCCCAGCTAGTAAGTGTCGAAGGTTGAATTTGAACTCAGGAAGATGAGTCTTCCTGACTCCAGGCTTGGCAAGATGGGACTACTGTGGACAGAGGGAGCCACTGGAATTTATTGAGTAGAGTGCACATGATCAGACCTGTGATTTAGAAAATTTGCTTTGGCAGCTGATTGGAGTGGGGAGAGATTTGAAGCAGGAAGATCTACCAAAAGCCTATTACAATAGTCCAGGCACAAGATAATGAGGTCCTATACCAGGTTATATGAGTAGATAAAAAGGAGGGCTCATACAAGAGATACCATAGAGTTAGAAATAACAACATTTGGCAATGAATTGGACATGTGGTATGGAGGAGAGAGCACTGATTCTGGAATCTCAGCAACTGGGTAAAAGCCTCTCTGATGCTTACTGCCTGTGTGCCCTTGAGCAAATCACTTTTCTCTGGGCCTCAGTTTCCTCCTCTGTAAAAGGTGAATGACGATACTTGTCCTTCCTCCTTCATGGGGTGAAAAAAGGGTTACATCAGTATGAGCTGCTGCTCCAATGAATTTTATCTCACATAGTAGAGTGGAGAGCCCTGTCAAAAGACCAGGTATGGAATCCCAACTAGCTGTATAAACTTGGGCTAATCACTAAACCTTTGTCAACCTCAGTCTCTAAAATGGGAATAACCATCCCTGTTCTACTTACCTCAGAGGCAAGACCTTAAAGTGCTAAAGATACATGTCTTCTCCATTAAGCTCCTTGAGGACAGGGACTGATTTTGTTTTGCCTTTTTCTTACCACACTGCCTGGAACAGAGTAGGCTTCTAATAAATGGTGGTTCATCTAAAATTTGCATGAAGTGAACTTTGTATTTCTTCTATATATCTTGACTACTCTGATTTCCATTTAGCGTGGAGAGAGAAATCTGAACAAATGTTCTTAGCAGGATAAGCTAGTCAGTATGCTAGGTTTGTATTATGGAATTCAATTCAATTCAATTCAACAAGCATTTAATGGTCACCTAGCTGGGATAGTTGATGGAGCACTTGACTTGGAAACAGGAAGACCTGATTTCAAATTCTGCTTTAGACACTTACTAGCTCCATGACCCTGATTAAGTCATTTCATCTCTCTCAGCCTCAGTTTCCTCATCTGTAAAATGGCGATAATAATAGTACCTACCTCACAGGGCCGTTGCAAGGTTCAGATGAGATAGCATATATAAAGTGCTTTGCAAATCTTGAATCTTTCCATAGCTAGCTAGCTAAGTACCTACTTTGTGCTAAGCACCATGCTAGCCCAACACAGAGGGTCAAGTTTGTGGGCCACTGTTGGTAGAATCATCCCACAGAGCCCACAAACACATCGAAACAAACAAACAAACACACAAACCATGAATGATTTTTGATGGGTAAGGTGCCCTCCCCAGCAAGAAGCAGCTGTTTCCCTGGCAGCTTCCGCCTCTTTGCCATAGCTGAAATGCTGCAAACAAAGGCATTTATCTATCTCAGGGCAGCTCCAGGGACAGACAATAAGTATTTGTTTATCTGCCTTTGGCAAACACAAAGCAATTATGATGCCTCAAATCTCCATACACTTGTCCCTCTGTTGGGAACCATGCCATGGAAAATTGTTATTTAAAATAAAGACCGGGAGAGGAATTCTCCCAACAGAGGAGATGCTCTCCCAGGAGCAAGGGGATTCCTGAAAGATGGGGACCCTTGAGAAGGAAAGGAGGGATTATTTGGGCATATAATCTGATCCATAGCTGTTGCCTGGTTGTCCCATATATAGGAGTCTTATCTTCCCCTAGCTAAACTGTAAACTCCCTGAGGGCAAGGAATTTAGGGCGCTCCTCTGATCTAAATCCTTCATCACCTACCAGCTGGACCAGGAAGCTAAAAAATTAGTGCTATCCCAAAAATAGAATGAGCTGCCTTGTGAGGTTGTCTGTGCCCCTTCACCAGAGGTCTCTGAGCAAAGATCCAATGGTCGCTGGTAGAGAATGTCACAGAATAGATTTTTGCTCAATATATCAGACTAGATGGTATCTGAGGTTCCTTTTAGCTTTGAGATTCTGTAACTTTCATAATTTCCACTTTCCAAACCTTTGAACTAGCTATTAACATCTTTTCCCACTATTTCCCAAATGTTTTTTATTCCCTTCTGCACTTCCCTAGACACTTTGCTTTTCTGAGACTAAGTGTGTGATCCTGGGTCATATGTAGAAGGACATACCCTCCCAATCTTACAACACTGGAAATAAGTGACAACCACCCTCCAAATTCAAGTAGTTACTCAATGAAGGGGTCTCTTGATTGTTGTAGGTCCTCCAGCTCCACCTCAAGAAGTCACCATTCAAGCCGGGACCACTCCAGCAACCATACAGGTCTCCTGGAAACCACCAACTCTCACACCCACTGGGATGTCCAATGGAGCCAACGTATCTGGCTATGGTGTTTATGCAAAA